AGTTAGGTCTTCAACTGTTGGCTCCAACCGAGCTGATTGATCGTTGCCTTGCTCGTTGACTACCGGAGTAACAGTTGGCTCATTTTTTTCATCTTCATCATCTGAACCCTGCAAAAATTATTGTTGGACAAAAGCAGCATACTCCGCTAGTGAGGCCGAAATGAAATACTGAGGAGCATTGTAGACCTCGGTTTCGGGTCCACAGCCGAGCTACTCCACAGCACTTCTCCAGCCGCACTTGAAAAATAAGTCCTTCGCTCCCTCACATTGTGGAATGTAAAGGCCCTCCGCCTCCTTGAAACCTTCGGCGTTGGCACCATCCACCTTCTTCTTCAGTTCAGCGATTTCGGCGTCCTTTTTCCCTTCGAGCTTGACTAGCTCACGAAGGTACTTGTCTTTCATCACGGTCAACGCCTTCTGTTTGTCAGCTTCAGCCGAGGTAACTAGTCCGGTTAGACGAGTTACCTCAGCCACTAGCTTGGTCGTTTTTTGTTGTGATTCCTTCAGTTCGGTTGTTCTTTCTTCCACCTCTGCCATGGCCTGCCTAGCCGTTTTCCTGAGCTCCAATACCTTTTGATGGGCAATTTGGCTCTTCTAAAGAGACTGAAATGAATGGAAAGAAATGAAGTGACAAAACCGAACTGAAAGTTTCAAAAATTTGAGAGACAAGAGGGGCATCTTACCAGGATCATGAATTTGGTGGCCGATCAGATGGCCCTTAGCTCGGTCAGGTTCTGGTGGTGTTCCATGTCTGCTGGAAGGCAAACACTCTTGGCAAGGTTGAATGCCATCAAGTGATCCTTCTTAGCAACCACTGAATCGGTATCTTGGATATTTCGGTTATGAAATTTCAGTTTTGGTGCCCACTTGGAAGAGCTAGCCCGGTCAGAAGGCTCCGGTTGTGGAATCGGTGGGTGGCTCGATGGAGGGGTGGTTTCGTCCTCATCCGCTAGACGTTGCTCGGTTGGATGGACGTGATGAAGAAGGCTGTTGAGTAGGAAGGGCCACAACGGCCTGTTGCGTTTGGCTTGGTGGCGGTACTTCGGGTCTGTTGGTTTCGGTCAAGAGGGCCCTGACTCTGTTTCTCTTGGCCATTTCTTGTTCAGCTGTGAGAGGGACCAGGATAATTTGGGGCAAAGTTGGGTCCGGTTCTGGGGCGTCCTCAAGCAGAAAGTCTGTTACTCTGGCTTTTCGGCGACCGCTGTAACGGTATGTCGGCTCAAAATTAAGAAGTTTGGCCCAACTTCTTTCTGGAAAACGTAGTGCGGTGCGAAGTGTGTTCAGGTTAGGGTAACTATACAAAGATTGAAGATGGGCTGAATCTGCATAATGAAAACAACTGTTAGTTCGGTTCAAGAGCAGGTAAGCGAAATTAAGAGAAGCATGAAAGTGACCGAAGTAAAGTATACCAGGGATTCCTTTATTCCAATTTATACTTCAGCCTGGGATCTGGGCTTGCTGGTCTTCAAAATTTCCAGATACCCAGAAAAAATCGTCATCGTTTAAGCCTTTATCCGACATATCTTTTATTATTTTTTCTCTGCGATGACGTATCCTAAGGTAGTAGACCCAGCCGTCATCTTTGGAGGCAATGGAGTATTGGTGGAATATTTCAGCTAGACCGAGGTTAAGACCGGCTCGGCGGTTTAGTTCGGCTATTCCCATTATTATACTGTAAGAATTGGTGGAAAGCTGAGTTGGGCATATTCTGGTTTGTCTTAGGAATTCACAAATCAAGGGTTGAACGGGGAATCTTAGTCCGGTTTCTATTATTGATAGGAGGGTGAAAGGTACATAGCCCTCTTTTCCCCATGGAACGATATCTTGTTCGGCCAGAATAAGTTGGACGTCGTCAGGGATGTTGTAATCCCTTCGGAATTCGGCCAGGCCACCAGGGGTTTCTATCAAAAACCTATACTTCTCCATTTATTTTTTAAGTTATGGATAAATTAGTTCGGTCACAAAATTGTGCTCAGTAGCTCGGTTGAGCGCACAGTGGAGTGCCTGGGCAACCTAAGTCTGCAAAGTGGAAAACAAAGGGGTTAAGCACAGATCATTGGACCGTGCTACAAAATAAAAGCAAGAATAGGAGTCCTATTTCGGCTATGTGGGATGCTACAGGTTCTGTCTCGGTTTTAACAAGATGCTTGGTAGCTCGGATTGAGCAGGGGGTTCGATAGCTCGGTCTTGGCGAGCGATTCGTTATCTCGGTTAAAGAGAAGGCTCTGTTAGACCGATTGAGCCTCTAGGGGCAGCTTTTTGAGTTCGGTCTAAAAACTTAGAAAGCTGACTTAGCCCCAAAGACCTAGCTCGGTTGAAAGATAAGGTTTCCAGTATGCTAAGTTCAGACTTAGTTCGGTTCGTTTATCCCGGCTGAGGTAAATCAGAGGATGGTTTGACTTATTGAAATTGCTAGTATAAATATGAAGTGCTAGCTCGGTCGTATAGTTAGATTAGCGTGGCATCAACTACGAACTACTTTTTAGTTCGGTTATATTGTAATTTTGGATCAAACACAGTGTTCTACAGACTACTTCATGAAGTTCATGTGGTTCTTAAAAGGTTTTTTTCCAGAAAAATGCAGAAACTAGCAGGAAAAAGTGTTTTTCAAACATAGTATGCTATGGATTAAACAAAAGCAGAAACAAAAATAGAAAAACAGATTTATGGTGCTTACCAGGTCCAGAGGCACAAGAAGATGGAAGTGGAAGTAGCAACAATAGCAAGAACACGCAGCTTCTTCGAAATATAAAAAACAGTAAGAGCTTAGAAAAGAGAAAGAGAGAGAAGAGCTTGAAATAGTAAAATGATTGATGAAGGTGATTCAAAGGATGAAAGTGTTGTTTTGGGATATAGGAAGGACGAAAACGCGCGGGACTGTTCAAATTTTGCGGAGTACGATGGCGGCGCGACAGCTGCAGTAAGCCAATACCAGCATGCTACGTGTCATAGGGATGAGAATCGATTCAGTTTCTGTGATTGAAGGGACGTTGTGACCGGACAAGCACAACTCGGCTTAAGTTTAGCTCGGCTGGGAGGGTTAAAAGTATATAGCTCGGCTCTAAAGGCTTCAGAGTTTTAGCTCGGCTGGAAAGGCTAAAGGGTTTTTTAGTTCAGCTGAAAAGGTAAAACTTTAGCCCGGTTTATAGACAGGTAATCCCTATCATGCTACGTAGATGGAATTAATGGGCAATTGAGAGGGTAATTTATATACGAATTGGGCCGAGCTGGGCCTTTATGGGCCTCAGTACGAAGGGCTGAGTAAAGAGGTCATAAAGTTACTCCGGTCTTGAAGAGGCTTAAAGTTAGCCCGGTCTCAAGCCTAGAAGGTAGACCGGTCCGAGGGACTCTTGATGTTAGTCCGGTCGAAGGACGGTTTGTAGTTAGACCGGTTTAAGGATGCTTTGAACTTATACCGGTCATGGCGCAGTGAAACAAGATTGGTCTAAACCTTGATAAAAGATAGTTCGGTTTTGGGCATACATGGTTTATTGAAAACTATGGACAGAGAACCGAACTAGGTATGGTTCAGCTAAGCATAGTTGTGATTACTTCGGTCGTATGGTAGGTCGGCCATGGAAGAACCATCTCACTTGGTTTAAGCAGTGAGGGGGGTTGAAGGATAAGCATTATCCTTCAGGAGTATGAATCCTAGGAGGACTCTGCATGGAGGAGTAAAAGTCCTACTAGGATTGTGCAACGCAAAACCTATAAAAGTTCACAAACATCACCTATGGAGAAGTAACAAACTTTGATTCTCGAATTCACAGAGCTTCTTGTCTATTTGTCTGTTTTTCTGACTTAGGCATCGGAGGGGTTTCCGGCACACACCCGCCGGCTAGCTCACGCTTGTGTTTTCAGGGAGTAAAGCGACGTCGTACGGAGGAGCGCAGACTTGATCAACAGGATTATACGAGAATGTTTATTTCTTTCCCGTACAGAAATTAAGTTTTTTTTTTTTATTTTTCGTGTTTTTTGATTTTTGATGAATATTTTTAAAATTTTAAACAATTTTACTTTTGTAGATGCACCTTATTTAGATATATCTAAATAGTAAAATATTTGTAAAAAAAATTTAAAAAAATTAATAAATACACAAAAAAAAAAAAATACTAAATTTTTATTTTTTTTTTATATTTTTAGTATTTAATGAATTTTTTAAAGATTTTTTTTTCCACAAATATTATACTTTTTAAGTGTATTTATATTATGTGTGTTTAAAAATTAAAAAAATTTGGTGAAAACAAAAAATTATGAAAAATGAAAAAAATAAAATTTTCTAAAAAATAAATTTTGAAAATAAAAACCAAACAGAGTGATTAGCATTTTTGAAAATATAAATCATAGATAAAATAAATTTTGAAAATAAAAACCAAACAGAGTGATTAACATTCTTGAAAATATAAATCATAGATAGGAGTCCAAAGAAAAATTGTAGATCAAAATTCTTTATAGATTGAATCAACAAATCCTTCTTTTATTATTTTAAATTAGATTATTTTTTATATTCATATTAATTCTGAATTGAATGGCTAAGAATGAAAAGAACCCAATAGTTAATAGATAAGATTTCAAAAGTTTATTAAACCCATTGACACATCTTCGCCAATCCATCATACAGTCTAAGACTATCATCAATTTTACAATGATCACATTTTAATTTGTCACCATTATATTGGTTTAATGGAACAACAAAGTAATATTTATTTTTGTCCTTTTTTTGAGACAGAAAACCACAGCACAGCCCATAATTCACCCTCCCTGTATTGAATTAAAAACGGTGGCCCATCTGAAATGTTGCAGAAGTTAATTCACTCACGTCGATGTTCTACTTTCAATTCCGTACTGGAAAGTTAGGGGGTAGTTCTGCACATTAATGATCTATAAATCTAACCACCCGTCACTGACAACTAGAATAATCCAATCCAAGTTCACTCATCTCTCTCTCTCTCAAACAATGGAGGGTTGTTCATTCACAGTAAATGACAAAAGCTGTAAAATTTCTCAACTAAAATGAAATTTTCATATAGATAAGCCCACACAGTAAAACGCAGCTAAAGCGCACCATTAATAATATTTGATCAGTGCAATTGAAGCAATTAAGATACCAATGAACAGAAATGCAAAATCACATTAAAAGCAAGAGCTCTGTACTGAAACAATTAAAAAGAAAAAAAGGAGAGCAACATCTAACAATGCCCCTTCCATGTAAAAAACGATAGTTTGTTCCATAGTACTGTGTAGACTAACATTAACCCTTCTTGTGCACCGTTCACATCAGTAGCAGAACAACCTGACCTGTGAGTCAAAAGTTGAATTGAAGAAATTAGTTAAATCTCCAATAATAGGAGAATTAAGAGGTTTGTTAACAATTTTTGTGTCAAATTGAAAGGATTCTTGGATCACTAACTTGAAGGTTCAGAAATTATGCATTCGAAATCAGCACTGGGCATGGGCATCATTTCTTGTCCTCTTCATTTGGTGCCTTATCTTCATCCTTCTGCTGCAGTCACAGAAACAATCAACACAATGAAACCACTGGAGTCCACAGAATAGATGTGGTGGTTAATTTTACATAATAAAACAGCTATTCCATGTAAAATCGATTAAAGACAAACCCCATGGGAAACATGTACATAATCACAAATGAAATGCTGGATTTCTACAATATTTCTCCAAAATTAAGCCAGATTACAATAAAGAAGAGAGAGAGAGAGCATTCACAACCTCCAAGTTTCTCACAAGCATGATCTCAGTTCAACATGGCAAGCTACTTTCAGGGGGAGCAACCCAAAAAAAAAAACAAAAAAGTAAAAAAGCAGCAGCCTACGGGAGCAACCCACCCATGAACACATTTTTTTAATTTTTTTTTTGAACCCACCCATGAACACATAATGCATACAAAAAAGAGCACCCTAAACAATTCAATCATATTTGACCAGGAATTTTTTCTTAAATTTAAATTAAAAATTAAGCCTACGAAGGTGCCCATGAGAAAACATGATTCATGAACTTTCAGATTTCACAAAACAAGTTTCCTTACATCATTTTTTCCCCCTAACCTTCTAAAGCTTGGAGCAACTTAAAAGTCTACAAATAAATAAGTAATTTGGAAGGAGAAGAATACTTGACTATGGAAGTTTCAACCAAAAGGCATCTCCTTACAATAGCAACAACAAAAGAAAAGTCAAGTGCCAGTCTAGAAATATGGCGCCCTAGTCATCAGAAAATTGACATAAAGCAACCATAATGCGCCCACCCCCCCCCAAAAAAAAAAACGGTGAAAGAAAGGAAAGGGCTTAATTTTACTATGACAACAGCATGCTATAGAGAAGTTGTTACTGAGAAAACAAGGCGAATATATAGAATCAACAGTAAATAATTTTACAACTCACCCCCACACCCACTCCCACCCTGAGAGAGAGAGAGAAAGAAGGGTGTACACACATGCACACTCTATTGTGTTCAAAACAAGGAAGGAGCCACCAAGCTACAGAAGGAAGAACGGTCGAGCAAATCAAATCAGAGGTAATATGCATGGACTTAAATGAACATATGTATTCACTATAAACCTATGATATATTGCACTAACCTCAGACTGATTTTGCATGGATGCAAGCAAATCTTTGACCGAAGGATCATTTGGATCAACTCCTGGAAGCTGTGAAACCAACAATCCATTATGAAAAGAAATTACAGAACAGGTCAGTTTTTTTTTTTTCTTTTCTTTTTATTTTATTCTCTTGGAAAACTTTATCCATACATAAAATTCACACAAAATACACTACAAGAATGATGTGGCAGTGGCAGTGGTATTGTTGTAAATATAACTTATCTTTATGGGTGTTTTGTTTTAAAGTGAAAGGTCGACATTAAGCCAAATCATTATGTACGAAAATTCTGTATGAATTTTCTGTTTGTATATCATCACTCTATTCTTCTTGGTGGTGTGAGAGAAGGGAAGGAAACAATCACATAAAAATTTCCGTATAGTATACATACCGAAGCAAGGATTGACGACACAAATGACTGATCCGCCAACAGCTTACTCACATCTGTCTGGCTTCCTTGATCTTCAGTGCTGTCCTGCACAGACAACTGTAGAGCTGCATGTGCCACATCAAGCGAAACATATCAAGCAAAGAATACAAAGCAAAAGAATCATGGTATTGGTGAGAATTTAATTACTGATATAGACGACGCTAAATTAGTTTAGCCCACCCTAAAATTAATGGCATCTGACGAGTTTTGAAATATCAGTCGTGGGCAATGTTTTTGTAACACACACTGCTCGGAAATGAAAAGATTTATGTTTTTTTACAAGGTCTTCTGAAGAGTACAGTTTAAATAGCAGCAGAACAATTTTAGCGCTCCCAATGGAAAAATAAAAATAATAAGCGAAAAAGTGTGTCCCATGATTTCACTAATGAATACACCTAAGCAAGTCCTCCTTTATGCTGCTGGAGTACCTCTATTAGTGATTTTGAAACTAGGCAAATCAGTGTCCAAATGCCCTAACCATTAGCAAGCTGCTGATAGAAATTATGTTGTTCATCTCATGAATGTTTAAATAAACAAGTAATAGATAAATAAAAGTGCCGGTTAAGTGGAAACTTGGGGAAAGCTAACCTATACCATACACAACTGAAATATAGCGAAGTCATTACCATCTAGTGTGTGCCATCTTCACACATGTGCCAGATCATACAGCTGATGCCAAGCAAATGTACAAGATATAACATCTCATTCTTTAAGCTCAAAAGGATATGCCAATGTAGCTTCAGGGTAACACAGAAAGAAACATGTTCTTGTATGAGTACATTTGAAAGATTAACAATGCAACCTAAAACACTCAGGAAAGGCATCACCGAACCACACAACAGAAGATTTGAGGAGAAAAGAGCTTTGCTTATAACTTGGATTGGAAGGGTTTGGATCTTTATGCAACAAATAATACACCCATACACAAATGGAAGGAGCAAACAAACATGAGCGCTTACCAAGTGCCAAGTCTTGATCATCTGCAGCTGCCTCTGACATATCTGTGTCTCGCAGAGCAACGCTAGCAGCAGGGTCATCCATTGACATAGCAAGAGCCTGCTGTAGCAAAGCATTCTCATCATCCTGTAATCAATTCAAGGTAAATTAAATGAGTATTGGTTGTACTGCCAAAAGAATGAAAAGAATTATTTGGCTTACCCATGAATAAGGTAGAAGCTATGTATATATAATAGATTCATGATACAATTTAGAAAACGATATAAATAAGGAAACAATAATAAATCAGTGATTGATACAATCACAGATTATATACGTAATACTAAAAATAAAAAGATTTTATATACTCTAATTTCTATATTCAACACTCCCTCTCAACCTGGTGTAAAGATATTCAACAATCGCAGCTTACCAATGGATGACGGGATGAAGCCGAAAAAAACTTAATGGTTGGTCTAAATAAATTCTACCGAACAAATCTAGTAGTCCACTAAATAAAAAAAGTCAAAAAGTGCTTAATACATTAGCACCACACCCTAGAAAGGGAAAAAAACAGGGACTGAACTGCCCTAGAAAAAATTGACCGGAATCAATGTCGAGACAATTTAAAGGGATCATGCCAGACCGTTGTAGAAACTGACCGGAATAAATGTCGGGACAGTTTAAGGGGTCATGTCGGACCGTTGTAGAGACTAACCGGAATCAATGTCGCGACAGTTTAAAGGGGTCATGTCAGACAGATGTAGAGAACTGGATGTTGATCCAAAAAGCGTGGCACACACATAACTTATGACGTGATGCTGAACGATGATGACAACAGATGACTGAGTGCGCCAAGGGGCGACTTATTAGAAAGTGCGCCAGAGGAGGTGGCTTATGTGGTGTGCCAAGGAGGCGACTTGGGTTGTGCGCCAGAGGGGGCGGCTTAGGTGGCTCACATAGTATATCACCATGCTCACCATGATATATGTATAATACCCTCCCTCAAACTCAAATAGATTTGAAGATAGAAACCTATTTGAAGTTAAAATAGAGGGAAAGACAAAGTGGAACAGGAACACACAAAAAAATGGATTACGAGTAAAAAAGAATATGATAGATATATTTGGGATAGAAATAAACTAATGGATAGAGGAAGAGATCACACGAAGCGATACTGAAAGAAAATATGACAGTGGAACGGGTTGAGGTTCGGCGGGCAGCCAAGGGAAGGCCACCGCCGCCTGCTGGTGAAGCAAAATTACTAGGTATTTAACCTAACTCTGATACCAAAAAGAATGAAAAGAATTATTTGATTTATCCATGAATGAGGTAGAAGCTATGCATATATAATAGATTTATGATACAATTTAGGAAATGATATGAATAAGAAAACAATACTAAATTAGTGATTGACACAATCACATATTCTATACATAATACTAAAAATAAATTTTTTTTATATACTTCAATTTCTATATTCAACACTGCCTACTGATAGCTGTGAACCATACATGCGGAGAAAAAGAGATCAACAACCAAAAGATCAAAGATGGTTATAAAAATTTTAACAACTTTGTGATTAAATTATATCCAAAACATTCTTCATGCCATTCTTTGAAAATTCTTGAACCATTGGTCCACCAAATGGGCCCAAGTAAATGTCGTAGCATGAAGACAAGGAAAAAAGAAACCAAAAAATTATGTATAAGTGATCCATGACCCTCATCGCCACTTGGAACATTTTAGAGAAAATGCTATTCTTGCTCCATCTAGACTATGGTACTTATCCCACTCATCTTCATGTAAATCTTTCCCTCCTTGAATAGCATTCACACAAAAGAATGGATTACTCCCCAACATGTATGCATTCAAAACCATACACAATGTTCTATGTTCAACTCTATCCTTCAATTCAACCAAGACACTGGGGAGTGCCTTTGCTTGATTTTCTTCTAATTTCTAGCTCTTTTAACTCCTTTTTCACCTCCACTCCCATCATATATCTGTTAATCACCTTCTCTCAACCTAAAGCAGAAAGTTCCATCACAGATAATATACATAATAATTCACAAAGAGGGCAAATCAATATGAAAGATTGTCAAAAATAAAAAGCAAAACAAAACAACTGGTGGTTTTCAAGATCTTCGTAGCGTTGCAAGGGATCATCAACATTGCCAGCAGCACCACCATCATCAGCATCAACGTGACTCCACATTCATGTCATGTCTACTTGAGAAGTAACCTTTATATGCTAAAAGAATCTATGACTAACTATGGAATCCAGAGATGCCCCATTTTCCATGTGAAAAGGCAATATGTTCCACCAGCGAAGAAGCTTCTTGGGGGGAGGGGCATTTATACTTATTACAATATATGGTTATTTCATAAGGTAGAATACAATTGTGACTGGCTAATGAATCCTGAAGACAAAGTTGAGGCCAATTATTAGGACACCTTAGGGACCTCAGTATCAGGATGGGGATTTTTTTTTTTTTATCAGCGACAGGGATTTGTAATCAGATAGGTATGCATGCGATGCCAATTTTTTATGCATGTTTCTCATTTGAAATAGCTTATACACAGAAAGGAATTTTGCAAGACTACAGTCTACAGCCTCAACAGAAGTTTAGTTTTCTTTTTTGTTTTTTTTCATAAGTAAGAAAACATTAATGAAAAGGGTATCAAGGGGATAAAATGTAAGTTTTTATTTTCCTCTTACCCCTTGCACTTTCTAATCTCTATTCAATTCAAAAGCATGTCTGTGTATGTAATGCATTACATGGAGCATTCACAATTCAAAGATATATAAAATGTAAATCAAGCCTTATCTGCATATAAGTAGTTTGGCACACTAAATGTTACCAATCACATCACATGAAAAATCGAATATGAAAGTTTGAAGTGAAACATGACACCAACCATTAGATCATTTGTCTTATTTTCAGCTTCGGGGGCTGCAGCACTGGCATTTTCAGTCATGGTTGCATCTTGTGATGTGGATGCCTGTTCCCCTTCTTTTTCCTGTTTTGCAGCTTCCTCTGCAGCCTTTTTAGCAGCTGCTTCCTGCCTCGCCCTCTCCTCTTCCATTGAAACTCGGAGAGCAAGAGCCAGTTCAGGATCCATATTTGGATCCACACCAAAATCAAAACCGGAAACGCCACCAGCTGCAGCTGCTGCGGCTGCTGCTGCAAAACCACTTCCACCTTCCCCATCCCCAGTAAAGATAGGAGTACTGCCATAAGGGGGAAGAGAAAAAAAAGTAACTAATACTGGATTTGATTGAGTATGTTATCAACACAAGCAAACAAAGATGGAAGTGTGACCAGTAACCTTATCAGAACATCAGCTAGAGCATTTGGACCAGGAGGAACATGAACAATGTGACTGCTGTCATTATTGTTGACAGCACCAAGAAGGGCCTCGAGCTTTTCTGTTTTCCCATCATCTTCTTCACCAAAACTAACAATATCAAGAGCCACACTGTTCTTTTTTAACTTCCTTCCAATTATTTCCAATACCTTCTTGTCGTATTTGACAGGACTGAAACAAACCATTTGAACTACTGAGGAAAAAGGAATCATAAAACTCAACAGAAAAAATGATAGAGGGATAAGGGGTACCTACCTCCCTGCAAGTACAATAATCCTTTGTTGCTGCTTTTTGTTTTGGCGATGCTTGAGAGCCAACTGTGCCACTTGGATCCCTGCTGCCAAGTTACAATCACCACCGATTTCTACACCTGAACTTGGAAAGAATGAAATTTTAGTGCAAAGGGCATCACCTAGTAAATAAATAATATATTGATTCAACTTCAACAACATTGTAACATAAGATTATATTGTTATTGGCCAAGCTCCCATGTACCCCAATGGGAGCAGTACATCCACATTTAAATAAACCACATTGTATACTCAATCAGCAATAGTATGCAAAAAGTGAATGATAAATTGCAACAGCTACCGACGGATAATCCATGTTATAACTTACAACTCATCTACTACTTGCAATAATCAAACCAACCAAACTAAACCTTGTGTCCAAATCAAGTGGGGTCAGCTACATGAATCCTTTTTCACTATTCTGCTCTGTCAAAACTACATGCTTGATTAAATTAAATAAATTCACATTTTTTAAGTTTGGGTTGGGTTTGAAGTGATGTGTTAGAGAGGTGATGTGACTTAAATAAGATGATATGACTTAAATAAAATAGTGACTTTTTGACTTTTTATCTTTTTTCAATCATGCCAAACTTGACCTAAACCTTGTGTCCAAATCAAGTGGGGTCAGCTACATGAATCCTTTTTCACTATTCTGCTCTGTCAAAACTACATGCTTGATTAAATTAAATAAATTCACATTTTTTAGCTAGAGCATCCCATGTCCATTTAGGTCTTCCTCTTCTCCAAACATTTCCATTTTATGGTGATATATCACTCTTCCTTACACTTGCATGCATCTATAGGTCTCTTCATTGTACATAAACAAACCATCTCACCCTCGGCATGTTCTCTCTTAACTTCTCTTAAACTTATCTTCAATTAGTATTATTTCTACTGATTCATGGATATTTTCATTTCTAATTCTATCTATCCTAGACTCCTAGTCATGCCACACATCTTTCTAATTATTCCTATCTCATCTACTACTTGCAAATATGAACACAAAAACTAAATATGCTACAGATCAAATCTGCAGTTTTATGAACTCCAAAACCTACAAATGGGTTTCTTTCTACAACTCTTTCAAATTACAAATACGTAGATGATTATACAAAGAGGACCGTATAAACGCAACCCGTAACAACAGTTAAATTTGCAATTGATTGTCATCATGACAAAACTATTTAGAAAACAAAGGCAAGTGAAAAAAGCAAACCGTGCATGCAAGCTAAGATCTTGCCAAGATCGCTCGTAGGAGTGACCAAAACGCGAACCCCTTTACCCGCCATTGTCAGAACTCCCACAGTATTCTCCGGATTAGACTGCACCCCCCAAACATTCCATAAAATTCCATCAGATACAAACCCTAAAACACAGCTAACTAAAGGTGAATGAAATTTGAAATAAAAATAAATAAAAATAATAATAAAATTTGTGACCTGGGTTTTGGCCCCACAGATCAGGTTAACAGCGTCAGCTTGAGCTTGAGATCTTGTGGGAGAGTAATCTCCGTTTCGCATCCATTCAGAGTTATCAATGCAAATCATTGTCGCCTGATAACAAAAAATTGAATTTTTTTTTTTTTTTTAATATTGGGGGATCGGTGAGATAATAATAATAATAAAAAGCTGGAAAAATTAGAACAGAAAGGTAAGGGTAAAGAGTCAGACCTCGAGCACCATGGTTGGAGATTGAAGATAATCGAATGAGAGGGATTCAATTGCAGTTTTGCAGAAAGGCTCTCAGTATTCGTTTCTCTGTGACTTTGTAAAGTAAAGAGAGTTTTCTTGCACAGAACGATTGGTGAAGGAACATGGTCATGGTTAGGGCCGGACCGGGCTGAGCCCGCATATGGCAACTCAAGTGTGGTTTTCAAGGCCAGACCCACCCACATAAGCAAAACTTCAGTATAGCGAGACCCATTTTAGAGCATCCATCGAGCCCAACAAAGCTTTGCTAAATTATAAGTCAAAAATCACTTTTTTTTTATTTTATTTTAGACAGTCTATTTTATTAAGAAAATTGTTTTGTTATTATTTATACCCTTGTGATTTAGATTATGTACAATTTACCCCTCTTACTGTTTAAAAATGATCACATAACTCTTTGTGATTTGTGGATTGAAGTATACCGTTAAATCAATTAACGATTTAATGAAAAAGCCTAAAATGTCCCTATATTTTCGTCATTTATTTTAAAGGTAAAGTGTACTTTAATCCCTTGTGATTTATTTTATGTGTGTTTTATCCCATTAAAGTTTGAAAATAAACATATAACCCCCTTATATTTGTCACGTGTTTCACGCTTACTGTTAAGTTAGATAGAATATTTAATGATACACTTCAGTCCACAAATCACATGGAGATTATGTGATCATTTCTAAATATTAGAGAGGTAAACACATAATTCAAACGACAAAGAGTTAAAATGAAGTTTGCCCAACGAAAAAACTATTGAAGGGCCATGGAATTTGTTGAAGCACTATAACAACTATAAATAATACCTAGTCATATAATAAATTTGTTGAGATTGATATTTAGCCAAAAAAAATTAATTTACTGAAGTTGATAGGAAGGCTCTTAAGTTGCAAAAATGCTAGCCAAGTGCTCATTTGGATTGTTAAAATATGACACGTCACAACCAATTCAAATTAGGAGGAATTCTAGAAAGGTGACATTTATAAGAGGGAAAATATATATATATATATATATAGCAAATTAGTGAGAAAATTTATTAAATTGCAACACAAAGTGGAATTAATTAAAATATTTTTAAAGAGGTGAAAATTGATTTAAAGTGTTCATTTCCCTCATCTTTCACCCCTTTCTTCTTCTTCTCTTTACGGCTCTCAACATTTGCCCACCCCTGACAAGCTATCAAGCACCATCACAAAACCCACCAAGCCACCCTAACCCTATATGACCCTTCCCTCATACTTCCCCGCCATTCTGATCAACCTATTTAATTTGATTATCGAATCAATCTGATTTTTCATTGGTGATTTGCATACAGTCTTACAAAATGAGCAGATTAGATCATTAAAATAAAATTCGTAATGAGACTTGCGAGCCCAATTGAATGCTCTAGTGAGAAACCTATCCCTTCGACTTATATATTTGTTTGCACCATAAATAATTTTTCCGTTGATTATGACTATGTTTAAATTTTCTGTTACTTCTTGTTCTTGTTCTTGTTGTTGTTGTTGTTGTTCTTCTTCTTCTTCTTCTTCTTCTTCTTCTGATTATTATTATTATTATGCAGAAAAATCTTAGAGGTTAATTAAAGAGAAGTTAAGACAAGTTTTGAAGATTCAAGGGATGGAAGACACATGGCATTATAAGAAAGAAGATGGAAGATTTATAAAGTTAAAAGTAGTTATTTAGGTGGTGGTTAATGGAAGTTTTTTTTCTATTTTTTCTATAAATTGCAATTAATGGTTCTATTGTAAAGAACCAACAAAAATCAAAACATGACTTGATTTCCATTTCTTTTCTATCTTAGGAGTAGATCTAATCTATATAGAAGTAGTTCAAACTTAGATAGGAGTAGTCTTAATGTACTTCACTTGTAATTTGATTGTTCATTCAATCATTTATATCATCATCTTCTTCTTCTCTCTTTCTCTTTTTATTGTTTGTATTGTCACTATTTTTACTCCATGGAAGTCCTTGAACTTTCAAGGCATAAAATCTCAACACAATTGCTTGATTATTGTGTTATTTGGTGAGATTTTGGTTAAAGCATCTCGATCTAAGCCTAACAAAAATTTTACTAACAATTTTTGGCACGTCCAGTGGGACATCGTCCTAACTTGGAGGGGGGAAAAAATGATACAAACAAAATATCAAGAAATTACGCCATAAAGCGGCATGTTTCCATCTTGTGCACCCATAGAGGCAAACCACCAATGAAGTGGCAATGTTCCAATGGGTATGAATTATTATTGGAATGCCTCATCTTTCATATATATGTTGCCAACATAATGGCATGACAAATGAAATAGAAAGAATGATTCGGCATTGTAAGGATGAAATTTATTAGTGCAAGAGTGAAATTTTGGCCCCACGAAAAACAATTAATTCTCTTGATTGGAAAAAATTTCAAATAATTTCATCACCACCATATTATTTGATGCAAAAAGATATAAATTACTTTGATGAAAAAATTCATCAACTTAGTTGTCAAGTTTATCAAGTTGATAGAGAAATTCAACATTAGAGTAAAAAATTAGAGAATCTTAAAAAGTACAAATTTTATGAGTTGCTAAGAGGTATTTCCAAGCAAACCTTTCTATCCACAAAAGCCATGGCTAAGGAAAAATTAAGTTTTGAAAATGGCATGCCAGTAGGCAATTTTTCAAGCCATTAATTGAAAAAGATGACTGGCTTCTTTTGCCAAAGGATATTGAGCATTTTAATGTTAACAATCCAATTGAAAGGTATGATTTTAAGTCAAATATGACAAAGAATGTTGAACAACCATCACAAAATAATGATGAAAATTCAATTGGAAATGATGGTTTTAAGCCAAACATGGCTAAATTTGATGAACAATCACAAAATAATGGTGAAAATCCAATTGGAGGGTGAGATTAGATCCTCTCCTTGACTATCCTCCTCCATTTCCTCCTTGTAACGGCTGAGATTAGCCGTTGCAGATCCAATGGCTAAAAAAAATTAAAAAAAATTAGAACTTTCATTTTCTTGCCCAATTCATTACACAGCTTATACAGAGGAGTTCAGAGTATACACTCACTCTCACTTGCTCTCACTTAGCTCGCTTCTTCTCCATCGAACCCACCCGTATCGACGACCCACCTTCACCGGCGAGCCACCCGCATCGGCGACCCACCTTCACCAACGACCCACCCTCACCGGCAACCCACTCCTGACGACAATGAGAAGTTCTCAGATTTTGGTAATCTTCTTGAACTAGTCTTCGTCTTCCTCTTCCAGTCCTTTGTTGATTATAGCTGGTAATCTTCTTTGATAATTATAGCTCTGAAATTTTTGGGTTTGATTTGTGAATATAATATTTTTGGTAATCTTCATCCAAGGATAATTTACAAATCAAATGTGAAAATTTTATAAAATGTTATAATATTTCTGGTAATCTTTATCCAGAAATATTATATTCACAAATCAAATGTGATAACTTTATAAAATGATTTTATAATATTTCTGGTAATCTTCATTCACAAATTAAATGTGATACTTTTAAAGCTAAATGTGGCAAAATCATTTTATTTTCAGTAATCTGGTAATATTCTTTGTCCACTGCTTGGTTTAATTGATTCATAAACATTAATTAAACTGATAGTTCATCTTCATAAACATTAATTAAACTAGTCATAAACATTAATTGTTCATCTTTGTTCACTGCTTATTCATAAACATTAATTAAACTGATTGATTCATAAACATTTTATAATATTTCTGATTGTTCATAAACATTAATCTTTGTTCACTGCTTATTCATCTTCTTTGTTCCTGTCTACGTTTCACTGCTTGGTTTAACTGATTCATAAACATTAATTAAATTGTATTGTTCATAAACATTAATTAAACTGATTCATAAACATTAATTAAACTTGATAATTAAACTGAGTCATAAACATTAACAGTGTCTTTGTTCTTGGTGCCAAAATAATTAAACTGATTTATATGGCTTTTTAGTTTCATTTTGATGTGGATATGGAAGTTGAGAATGGTTGTGCTTGGAAGCCAAAACAGGGAATGACATTTGATTCGAAACAAGGTGCATATGATTTTTATAATGCATATGGAGGAAGAATGAGGTTTAACATAAGAATGGATTATTCTAAGAAGAACAAATTCACTAACCAACTTATTTGTAGACTTTTGGTTTGCAGCAAGGAGGGATTTCGGAAGGTTGACAAGCGAGATCCATTGTCAAAAAACCCTAGAGCTGAAACTAGGACTGGTTATGAGGCTCGACTTTATGTTAAGTTAGATGAGTGTACTGGGAAATTTGTTGTGACTGATTTCAAAGAAAAACACAACCATGATCTTCTATCACTCGAGTGTGCCCACATGTTGCCGTCACAAAGAAAGACATCGGCTACCCAAGCAATTGAGTTAGAATTGGCAATACAATCTGGTCTTTATTTAGGCCAGTCTTTTGAACTCATGGGTAGGGAAGTTGGTGGTAGGTAATGTCTTGAGTTTACGAAATTAGATCAAAAAAATTATTTGAGAACCAAAAGACAACAAAGTTTAGCATATGGAGAAATAGGCAATGTGTTGCAATACTTCAAAAAAAAAATCTTTGCAGAATCTTTCTTTTTTTTATGCTTTCCAATTAGATAATGAGGAACAAATTACGAATATGTTTTGGGCCGATGCACAAATGATCATGGATTATGCCCAATTTGGTGATGTCGTCACATTTGATACGACTTACAAGTTAAATAAAGAACATAGACCATTTGCATCTTTTGTGGGATTTAACCATCATAGGAAAATAGTTATATTTGGTGCATCCTTGTTGTATGATGAGACTGTCAAATCATTTGTATGGTTGTTTCAAACTTTTCTAGAGGCTATGTCAAGAAAGGCACCAAAAACTTTGTTCACGGATTAAGATGCTGCAATGGAGCCATACCCATTGTTATGCCTGACACAAGTCACCGATTGTGTACCTGGCATTTCATGCAAAATGCATTAAAACATGTTAATTGTCTGTTCTAAGATAAGGGTGTAAAGAGTGTATTAAATAAATTCCTGTTTGACATTGAAGATAAAAATCAATGGAAGTTAAAGTGGGTTGAAATGCTTGATAAATATGATGCGCATGATAACAATTGGTTGAAATTGGCTTTTGCGGTGAAAGAAAAATGGGGTTGGCCATATGTTAGATCAACATGGGCTGTGGGAATGAGTACCACACAACTTAGTGAATCTTTTAATGCTTTTTTGAAGGATTGCATTCATTCTGATTTTAGTTTAAATGAATTCTTCATGCATTTCAAAAGGGTACTTTATGAGAAGCGATACAAGGAGTTAGAAGCAGGATATGCTTTGTGCCAAAGGGTGCCAAAGGTTGCCAAAGGTGAAAGCGACTATAAGAATGTTAATTCAAATAGGTAATGTGTACACAAAAAGATTTTTGAGGAATTCCAAAATGAGTACTTTCGATCCATTGAATCAGACATAGAAGCAATTGAATATGGCGAGGCTAGTACTATTTTCACAGTTGTTGATGTTGGTAGGAAAGTGAAGATAGAAAGGGATAGCTCTTTGGGTTGTAGTTGTACAAAGTATGAAAGGGAATGAATTTTGTGTTCTCACTCTTTGAAGGTTCTAAGAGACATATTGAGGATGAAAGAAGTTCCTTCACAATACATTGCAAAGAGGTGGACCAAACAAGCAAGAGCTGAAACTGTGAAGGACATTACGGGGAATGACATTCAAGTTGATGTAAAATTCCAATAAGCCTCGCTGTATAAGACATTGATGACCGCTTTTAGAGCAATAGCATGTAGAGCTGCTGAAACTGAAGAAACCTATGATTTGGCAATTGCATAATGTGGGAGCTGGATATTGTTGGTATACGTGCAATAAAGTCGAATGACGGTATGAGGACAGTCAAGGACGGAATTTGTATTCGGCTTCATCCTGGACAATCGCAAGACCGAATAAACTAATCGGCCTAAGAACCAGTTGAACAAAAGCCGAATAAATAAATGTGCAATGGATTGTGGGTGGGCCCGACCCTGAGGCCCAAAAGAAAAATGTAAATAGAGGAGCATCAGCCAAAGCAAGATATGTGAGAGTAAGTAAGATTAACTTGAGATATAAGCTACCAAGAGAGTATACACTGACTTATCCGTCGGAGTGCTAATTTTGGCACCCCCGACCGGAGTGTTCATTCCTTTTTAGGTGACTAGCTGAGGATCAAGAGCGCCCTACAGGATCCAGAGAGTATTTCCAAACCACTTCTCCACAATTGGCGCCGTCTGTGGAAATACTCCAGCACATCCATGGCGAACGTGACGGAAGATCCTTCGGTAGTCGCTGACGACCATATGCCACGAGATGATACCACTCCAAGCAATATGCTTGGGCCAGAGAACATTACCGCATGAAGGGCCTTGAACTTCGACTCAGTTGCCCAGACCTCACCCTCGACTTCAGCACATGAGACAATGTAAGCGATTATGGATTAGGCAAAGCAAAACGAACAGAGGTTGGAAAACATGATGGCTGAGAATGAGCGCCTTTGATAGGATTTGGCCTTGGAGGTGGCAAAATCCCAACAGGCCGCTCACCAAAATCCAGGACGACCTCTGAAAATGGATGGTCAATGACCTCGAGTTCGGAGACATGATAGTGGCAGTGATTCTGACTCATCATCCCCAGAATCCAAAAAGAAGGAACGAGTCGAAGTCTCCAGTTCTTCTGAAAGCAGTCCGCGTGCACGGAATAAGCGAAGAAGAAATGATTCAGACGAAGAGGATCAACATGACCCCTTTGTGCAACGGATCGCAAGGGCAGTGCTCCCAAAAAGTTTAAAACTCCATCGTTCACCCTATACGATGGAAAATCGAACCCCACTGATCACATTCGTCATTACAAGCAAGCCATGACGCTTCATGCAGACGACGAGGCCCTCATGTGTCAAATATTTCTAAGCAGTTTGGGACCATTGGCCGTCAGATGGTATTATAAATTGGAACCGGCATCGATTAAGAGCTTTCATCAACTCCAAAAATCCTTCAGGGCAAGGTTCATCACCAATGAGGTCCAGCCGAAGCAGGCCGATTCTCTCTGGGCAATGAAAATCCAACCAGGGGAAACCCTACGTGCGTATTCGGCGCGCTATTGGGAATGCTTTAATTTAGTCGATGATGCCTGCAATGACTCCATGGCCATCATGGCCTTTAAAATGGGATTGCATTCCGATGGTGCCCTCCGCAACTCCTTGACCAGAAGGCCCCCCAAAACAGTCTGGTCGCTAATGAAGAAAGTCGAGGAATACTGCAAAGTGGAAGATGACGCCCTGCGGGTCAAAGTCGGGCACAAGGCCAACAAGACGGCCCCGTTTGAAATTGTTCAGCCAATAAATTCTGTACCATCGCGGAGCCCTGAACCACGGAATCAGGCTAAACGAGACAAAAGACGAGATTCGCGCCGATCAAATGACAACTGTTTACACCGAGCTAACAACAACTTCAAGTGGATAGCAGACACATAAGGCGTGCGGACAAGAAATATACGGAGTTATCGGAGTCGATCAACACGGTTATATCTAAAGTTCAACACCTTCCGTTCTTTAAATGGCCACCCAAGATGGTGGGATTTCTTGATACGAGGAGACGGGATAGGCGGTGCGAATATCACAAAGACCACGATCATGATACCGACAGTTGTTACACATTGAAAAATCACCTTGAGGAGTTGGTACAAGACGGTCGGCTTAAGCAACAAGTCCAAAAGAACAACTCAACCAAAATAGTTGCTTTACGGTAGGATTCACCTCCACTCGGCGTAATCCATATGATATACAGCTTGTCGACGGCATCCGCGGTACATACAATTCAGTCGCATCCTAACCCCCAAAAAGCAAATCACACCAGCGAAACGGCCCCATGAAGCTGCGAGTATTATTTTTGATGATTCTAATTTGGTCGGCGTAACGCTCCCCCACAATGATCCCTTGGTCATCGAACTACGCGTAGATCGATTCACCATTGAACGTGTTCTCATTGACTAGGGGAGTGCTTCAGAAGTTATGTGCTATAAGACCTTCGTCAAACTCGGCTTCACTAAGTCGGACCTATCTCCAACTCATTATCTGTTATTCGGCTTCAACGCTAATCCGGAATATCCGTTGGGCAAAATCACACTACCAGTTCGGGCGGGCTCCCGATCAGTGGATGTAGAATTTTTGGTTGTCAAGCTTCCTTCGCCGTATAATCTCATCATGGGACGAACTTGGCTACATAACATACAGGCTGTGCCAAGCACCTATCATCAACTACTTCGCTTTTCGACTGAACGCGGTATTGAGCAAATTTGAGGTTCTCAGAAATCGATGCAGGCATATTATCTTTTTGCCGCAAATATACCAAGAGAGCTGGAAGTGAATTCAATTGAGGTTCCAGATCGAGAGAGCCTCGACGACATTGGGCGGCTCCCAAACGAAAAGGCAACCGGAGCCCTGGATCGGGTCGAAATTGATGGGAATCCTGACAAGTTCTTCATGGTCGGCGTTTCCCTAAATAAAGTTGACAGGTAGGAGCTAATTTCCTTCTTACTTGACAACCTTGATGTATTTGCATGGTCGCCATATGAGATGCCGGGGATGGATCCATTTGTGTCCCAACACTGCTTAAACGTTGATCCCAAATGTAAGCCGATTATTCAGAAAAGCCGGCGTTCAGCCGCGGAACACACTGCTGCCGTTGTTGAAGAAGTTGACCGACTGCTTGATGCCAAGGCAATCCGCGAAGTGACCTATCCTGCATGGCTGTCGAATACTGTGGTTGTAAAGAAGAAAAATGGAACTTGGCGTGTTTGTGTGGATTTCACAGACTTAAATAAAGCTTGTCCCAATGATTGCTTTCCCCTCTCCAGAATAGACCAGCTCATAGATGCAACGGCACATCATCAACGTATAAGCTTCATGGATGCATACAGAGGCTACCATCAAATTGCCATGCATCCGGAGGACCAAGACAAAACTGCATTCCTCACCCCAAGAGGAACCTATTACTATAAGGTTATGCCTTTCGGGCTGAAGAATGCAGGGACAACCTACCAAAGACTAGTCACTGCCATGTTCAAGGAGCAACTTGGCCGTACTATGGAAGTATACATCGATGATATGGTGGTCAAGTCCAAAGAAGAGCAAACTCATCTAGCTGATTTGGAAGATACATTCGACATTCTTCGCAAATATAAAATGAAGCTGAACACTTCCAAATGTGCATTTGGCATCGGATCCGACAAATTCCTTGGCTACATTGTTAACCACCGTGGAATCGAAGCCAACCCGAGGCAAATCACAGCAATTCTAGAACTCGGCTCTCCTCGGACGGTCAGGGAGGTTCAAAGCTGATGGGAATGGCTGCCGCACTCAACAGGTTCATCGGTCGTTCCATAGATCGCTGCCGAAAATTCTTTCATACTCTTCGGTAGGGTAAAGCTTTTGAATGGACCCCCAAGTGCAAAGCCGCTTTGGACGGTTTGAAGACTTACCTTCGATTAGTTCCACTCTTGACAACACCTTCGGCAAGTGATTCGTTCATTTTATATCTGGCAGTTTCTGACCGGGTCGTCAGCGCCGTACTGTTAAAGAAAGAACTAGGGAAGCAGCGGCCAGTTTATTATGTGAGCAAAGCAATGGTTGACGCCGAAACACATTACCTTTCGTTGGAAAAACTCATCCTTGCTCTCGTCATGGCAGTAAAAAAACTGATGCATTACTTTCAGGGACATACCATTGGGGTACTAACGAACTACCCCCTTCGGTCAGTACTCCGTAATGCAGAAGCATCAGGACGCGTTTCAAAATGGGCTCTCGAACTCGGCCAGTACAATATTCAATTTCTGCCCAGAATCTCAATCAAGGGGCAAGTGCTCGCCGACTTTGTGGCCGAATTCACTGGAAGTCTCGCCGACTTTAAGTCTGATCATATTCAACCTATGCCGAACTGAAGAATTTATGTTGGAGACATTTGGCGGTTGTATTGTGACGGATCATCCAACCGACGTGGCAGTGGAGCGGGCGTAGTGATCATGGCTCTCGACGGGGCAATAATCGAGCAGGCTTTCAAATTGGGCTTCGAAGCATCAAATAATGAACCCAAATACAAAGCATTGTTAACCGGCTTACAGAATGCATTTCTCCTTGGTGCTTGGCGTCTGCTTATCTTCTGCGACTCAAAGCTAGTCATCAACCAATTGAAGGGGAATATGCAGCAAAAAATGATCGTATGGCAGCTTACATGAAAACAGCGAATTCTTTGCTGGCAAAATTCGACCATCATGAATTAAATCAAATAACCCGGGATCAGAACACACATACAGACGCCCTGGCTTGCCTAGCCTTATCCATCAACTCAGAAATTAAACGGACAATTAAAGTAGGATTCATCCTTGAGCCGAGCATTGCCCTCTCAGAGTCAATTCAAATCAATATCATAGAATCAAGTCCAAGTTGGATGGACCCCATCACTGCATTTCTATCTTCCGAACAGCTTCCGACGGACAAGAAAGAAGCGCACAAACTGCGAAACAAAGCCTTACGATATTATTTAGATTCGCAATGAAAGCTCTACAAAAAATCCCTTTCTGGTCCATACTTAGAATGCATTCATCCGGATAAAGTTGAAGAAGTCTTGACTGAAATACACGAAGGTAGTTGTGGTGCCTATTCTGGTGGGCATTCTTTGGTTCATCGAGCTGTAACACAGGGGTACTACTGGCCG